CGGTTAATATTCAATTCCCATGAAACGAATGACACGCGTCCGCGAGTTCATTTATCACGAGGAAACGGCATGAATAATGGTAAAATCTGAAGTGCGTCTGAAAGACAGCGGGTTCGAGGTACATCCCTGTACTTTTCAATTTATGGAGTTGATCAATGCGGAGTTCTGAACGATGCCGTATTTCACGGTGAAACATTTATATCGCGATCGAAATTACATTATAAATCATATTTATTTAAATTACAGAAATTAAATAAAATTAGATCTATTCAAATTAGAGAAATTTGGGACGTTAAAGTAAGTTGTAATATTCAACTCGCGTTGTTGAATTCTGAAGACTCATACTGCGATTACAAAGAAAAAATCGACGTTTTCTTTCATTTTCACATTTGCTGTATTTTACAGTATTACGACAAACTGCTTTTAACGTCTCGTGTTACGTATCTATTATTCTAATGAACTTTTTCTGCCTCCATGACCAACAAGAACTTATTCCGTTTTACGTTTGCCTAACGAGGTTGCGTTTATGCAACACATTATTTTCACCGTTTGATCCTTAATGGGTTAATCACGATACGGTACGATGTAAAATTAATATAACGAGACGACGAATAGAACAGTTTCGACTAGACCAATGATGGCGAACCTATGACCCGCGGGTCAGACACTGACCCACGCAGGCTTTTTAAATGACCCACGCGGTGATTTTTATAAACTTATAAAATCATCATATATATAAAAGAATTTTAATTATTTTCCGAATCCCTCTTTTCAAAAAATGTTAAGAAAATTACGAGTGTTCGGTTAGAGCTTAAACGTGACAAATAAATGCATAATTGTGTTTTACGGAGGATTTACGACTTGGTTATGTATACATGTAGGTATTTTAAGTCTTAAATGTTACATGAGTTACTTGTGTTCAAAAAATTTTATATAGCGCTTACGATTAAACAGATGTAATAAACACTAAAAAAACACACTAGATCCCATTCTCAGAATAGAGTAGCTTTGCTAGTTTCTCATATAATAAAAGAGAGAACGAGCAATAAAAAATATTAAGAAATAAAGTATATATATCTAATGTATAGTGCAGAGGTGACTGGGCACGATGTCACCTCTTTCATATCAATTTCTCGACGTCGACATTTATTTTTGGCTCCTCACTTGCAAAAGTAAAAGTTGTAAAACAAAAAGGAAACGTAAACTTTTTAGAGGATTATAAAAGTGGGTACCAAAAAAAAAAAGTAGTTTTTAACCATCCTCCCCTCCCCTTTTCCAAGTGACGTCACTGACTTAGTGACCCACGAGCTAGTACTAAAAAAAATAATGGATGAAATTTGACCTACTTCTCGAAAAGGTTCGCCGTCACCGGTCTAGACCGAAGTAAATCATCACCGACTCGACCGATACGAATAAGTTCGTGGGAAGACACGCGAACGCGATTGCGCTTTTCGGATTCAGGTTAAGCAACGAAGAAATATTTCCTCCCGTATTTATGTACACGCGAAATTCCCCAAGCAGCGGCGAAGGTGTTCGTTCTAAGAACGATTCCGTGTTCAGTCCCCTGCATGAACGTGTCGTGCAGAGGTTTATCCCTACCAACGCGGGATAAACTTTCACCGCAACATTCGCCATCGCCTCCTCGGTGACGTTGCCGATCAACCGACCTTGCGTTCCAAGTACCGGTATTTAGATTACGGGGAAACATTTTTGTCGAATCTCGCGCGCAGAGGCCACGATTAAATTTCGAATATTCATTTTATTTTCGCAAACGTGGAACTTCGGCTGACGAGCGAGACAGAGAGTAGGACATTCGTACTGTTGGAACGCGGAGATAGAAAAAAACATCGATGGAATTATTTGGCAATACTTGTAGACCAGGCAAGGATCTTCCGGACTTCGAATATTTTAGCAAAGATGAAATTTGACATTAATAGAAGGAGACGAGTATATAGTTTGGTATGTAGAAATAGAAGAGGAAGTAATTTTCTCTGCGTTTTTATTTGTGGAGAGTGAGATCAATGTGATTTCCGAATGAATATATTGAGTTTCAGGTGAAAAAATTTCACAGGAAATGTATCATCACGTTGAGTGAACTATCCCAAAATGTCGTGTGCATCAGAAATAATACACGCTGTAGATTTTGGGAAATAGAGACGTGAAATATGTGTCGAAACCAGAAAATATACCGTACAACAAAGAATATTTCACTTGCGTCAGGAATATACAAAAATAAAGAAGAAGTTGATGCACAAAGCAGAAACTTCATTCGACGTTTGACCATGTAGCAAATTTGGCGCACTCAAAGTGTTATGAAACACAGGATTCCTCGAAGAAAATAAAGGATAATGAAGTGTGCGAGTATTTTGGAGCCACCTTTTCTTCGAGTAACATGTAATATATATAACCAGATATGTTTCTACCTCATTGTTTTGATAATCCTTATCTTTGGACTGCGATGCTCACTATCAATTCACATTTTTTGTTAAAATAGACAAAATTCCAAAAGCTGTGTAATAATAAATATTTAATACAATATCATACAAATAGATTCTTGAAAAGATGCACCTGGTACGTCATGCGACCAAAAATAAGTTATAATTAAACAAAAGAATCAAAATAAACGACAAAAAAGAAATGTACTTTTTTTTATAATTTCATATTAATTTACTATGTAGAGAATTTAGTAGAAGCACGTTTACATAGAATGTAAAAATTAAACAATAAAAGTAAAGCAGCTCCTAAACAATAAAAGTAATGAAGTGTAACGTAAGTCTAGCTTTAATTCAAAATGACAATATATGTTATTAGAAAAATTTTACCTATACGCATCAGACGCGACGTTTCAATCAGGAAGAAAAGAATCATAAGATGTAACGAAAATCCTAATTTAAAGCGAGACAATAAAAATATAAAATCGGACAGGCGTTGCTAAAGTAATGTTAAACATTGTTTCAAAATTCGCTAAACTAATCTCCCAAATTGTTCGCGTGGTACTTATAAAGAATAAATATGTTTAATACGATTATTTTGAATGAATATGGGTAATAAACATGGCGTCGTGTGTGATGTTAACGGGTCTGTATATCTAAATATCCTCGAGATACAAATACACGAGATGAACGTTATAGTATGTCACGTACATTACACTGTGGCAATTTAATTTAGCATTTCGATTGCAAAATTTACACTGGGATACTTTCCTTCGTATAACTCCGAGACTATCGAAATAGTCTGATAAATTATACCAATACTCCGACTCGACGTCACGTGCGATCGCCGCGTAGATACAACGCTCCGAAACGAAACAAACGTAAAAACGTCGAAACCGAGCGTCGATACTGTTCATTGACCTTCGTCGAAGCAACTAGTGTTCAAATACGTACACACATCGTACGTGCGATTAATTTCCCGAGATCAATGGTAACGGTAAATGACAGAGCGAAACGGAATCGACAAGATTGTACGAAAAAGCGCGAGTATATGTATTTTCACTGGATCCCAAGAACAGATATATTTCTGCGAGAGACGTGACGTCGGTAAATTCAAAGCGGGCACCACAAGCGCAACAAGAAAATGTTCCTTTCACCGTAACACGGCGAGAATGAATAATAGAACTTGAGCTAACAGGTTGGTCGAATAAAAGCGACGTCACGCAAACACAAAATGGATAAACGAAACGACTCACCGGCCACGAAGGATGATAGATTCCGCGTGTCTGCTCGTCATCTTCGAGGAAATCTTTAATCTCTCCAGTTGTAGTACTCGACCGGGAAGTTACGCCAGGAATGTCATACCGTTGACTCTTGCCACGAAACCAGAAGTCCTTGCTTCGAAACAGAATACGATACTCTCTTAATTACGAATTGCCGGTTTCTCGGACCGATTGCTCTCTCCCTACCCGCACCCTTTTTCGCGCGCGTAAAAATTCGATTCAGACGAATCAACACCGGCAACAGCGTAACATGCGAGCGAAACGGAAACAGCAACCACTGATTCTCTTTCTCGCGACCGGAACTCCGGTATCGGCGAACCACCAGTATACGTAAATCTCGATCGTACAACTACGCACTGCTTGACATTAGCCACGCGTACTGTCACCGGTGTGTGCACTATCTCGCGGCCCTCTCACGACGGATCCGAGGACGATCCGTCGAGAGATCCTGTCCCCTGCGCGAAGTCGACAGACAGGCTCGTTCGTCCCTTGCTACGGAATGACGGAATTTGTGTACCAAGCGGCTTGATGCTCACGTTTACAATTATACCCACGACACACAAGCCGCCCAACCGACCGAACTCGTGAAAGGCGACTGAGGTTCGGACCGGCTTAGTGGGGAGATCTTCCTTGCTGCTATGTCACTCCCACACAAACGCAAGGAGCTACACCGTGCCCCACTATGAACCGACTCGGACGAAAAGCCGCAAGGTTTTGAACGAGCCATGGGATTGGTCGCTGGTGGGGGAGATCGAGTAGCGGAGAGACCGCTCCCAGCGTGATGGCAGCACTAGACGCTGCTGATGGTACATGAAATTTAAAAAAAATTTTTTATCTATGATTTATGTAACTTATATCGTGACAACGCTTACGTTTGTAAAACAGTATATATATATATATAGATATATCTTTACAAATAAATAATACCAGTTTTTTATGTACTAACGAAGTTCGCAACATGTAAAAACGAAGACTCGACTTGTTCAATCTATTTGAAATTTAAAAATTCTTTCAGGCCTGAGGTTGTTCGAAAATTTTACTAGACAAACAGATGCTACCTTTTCCGGTACAGAAAGTGTATTTATAAATTGTTTACACATAATATACGAAAACATTACGCAATTCGTGTACAATAATACATTACAAAAATCATTCGTTGTGTTACAGCCTTTTAAATGTATATTCATTCTAATTCGTGTGTCAATTTAACGACTGAAAGAAGGCACAGAATACAAATTAGTACTTTTTTCCCCCGACTTAACAATTTTTAGTAATTGAACGATGCTTAATAGTAAAATTGCTCTTTATTATGAAAATGAAGATTTTACATATGGCTGATATTTAATATACGGAGTAACACCGCAGATACAGCGAAAATTACACTAAATGACACAACAGTAGTTTTACGAATAAAATGAAAAGTAATGTAAACAGAACCAAAAACGAAATCGATAATTGTTATCAACTAAAAACAAAAAAAAAAAAAACCGTATACTGCTGCTTCAAATTCATTCAATATTTCTACTATGGATTTTACATTAATTGAACACTACTGGAATAAAGATTATATATTACATCAAAGGCTCTGCAATGCCGAAATACTTTTCCTTTTACTTTTACATGAGTAAAAGCCTTTTTCGGTTTCAAAGATTCCAGTCTCATAATCGTGGGCATAAATTGCCGCAAGTCACAACTTATTGCGCTAAGATTTCATTAACTATGACTCGTACGTGACAGTAGTAATTTCATAAAATTAGCAAAAAGGAAATGTTTATAGAATAATTTTGTCATGTAATCTTACATATCTATATTATAGAGACTGAAAACTTTCAAAATTAAAACAAAGATATTTAGCAACAAAAATTTTCGAATACAGAGTGTGTCCAAAATTAAAAATTAAGTGTAAAAATGTTTATGCACACTGTTTACTGCTACAAGATAGTTAAGAGTATTTAACAACAGGAGTGAGTACGTAACTATTTTTTTGCTTGTAACTATAATTGGAAGATATTAAGTAGTTAAACGTGGATAAAGATTGAAAAATTTCAGAAATTGAAAATAGATAAATTTATGAAACATGTACTAGTAACGACTGATATATATTACATTTTCCTTCGAACGATTGTTACGCTTCTGATGAATAGCAAACTTTAAAAGAGAGATGTACACCATGCACAAAGTGAGAAATCAAATGAAAAATTCTCTCAAAGCAATAAACTTTACGATTCATCCAAGTCCTTAAATACTCTAACTTTAAAAACTTTTAATATCTGCATACAGTATCAAAGACTTCTGCAGTTTTGAGCAAACCATGCTACAACGCATCGCTTGTCAAGTAATTGCAGTGTAACATACACTAAAATTTTCAGACTATATGATTAACTTTTTCGACTCTGAATGCCAATTACGTGATGAAAATTTGTCTTTTTTTAAACTCTCATTACCTATATTAAATTATATCAATATTTATTTTATTTATATATCTATATATATTTTTATATATATCACGCCAGTCTCTCATCGTCAATTTAGTAACATAGGTACACATTGTCAACAACCACTCTGTTGATTTTCATCTGTTTTGTTTAGATAGCTTCACATGTTCTTCTTAACTGAATCACTAAATTATGCTGGCTTCTGCGAACCCTTCTTTCCAATCAACGATTTATGGATATGTGGAATAACACCTGTCACAGAAGGAATATTATTATTTAATTGTAACTGCATCGATGTAAGATTATAGTAATATAACTAATATAGACTACCATTTGAAATATAACTTTTAAAACTTTATACGTTAAGAGCAAGCTAATACTTCAATTTATTATAACAAGGTTATGTAACAGAATAATGTGATCATATAATTTTTTAAATGCAGCAAAAAAGATCAATAAAAAACATACCTCCTCCTGCAATAGTTGCTTTAATGAGACTATCTAATTCTTCGTCACCACGAATAGCAAGTTGAAGATGTCTTGGCGTGATACGTTTGACCTTCAAATCTTTTGATGCATTTCCTGCCAATTCAAGAACCTAAAACAAACGAAATATCGTTTCACAACGTAACAGACATCGTATGATATTTGTGAAACCATTAGCACGTAACTAAAAAAAAAAAGAAACCACAATACGTTGCATACAGAAAGCAAATAACGTGAAAACAATTGAACGATGTGCGAAAAAATATTTGTGTATCAAAATTTTGACGTCATCTTCGAATAAAAATACAGGAATGCTTCGAAATCGCAAAATTAATTGCAAATCAAAACGATAGTAATGCAAGAATTGTTTGTCCATATATAGAAATATCTTTTCGCGATGTATAACTATCGTGACAACATTTCCCTAACAAGAATGAAAATGAGGTGGTTGTTTCAAAAAAGAAATGAAAATTACAAATTCAAAAGTGAAATTCTATATAACACGACAAGCAGAAGAAAATGTTGTTCCTTATTTGCCTACGGTTGACGAAAAGGCGGGAAATATCGGCCATGATGCTTGGCGTTAGTAACGCCATCAGTTGCTAGTGATGCCAACGCACATAGTCCTGGTTATAACGGCTGATCTTCCTATTGTGCGTATTTGCCTTTCTTTCTCTGTCTTTCTCTCTTTTGTTTTGCGAATGCTTTCTTCTTTCACATTATATTCTCACTCACCTCAGCAGTGAGGTATTCCAAGATAGCTGCACTGTATACCGCTGCTGTTGCACCGACTCGACCATGACTTGTGGTTCTGTTTTTCAAATGCCTGTGAATTCTTCCAACCGGAAACTGAAAAAGAAATCAAACGTACGATGTCTGATATAGGTGAAAAAAAGAAAGAAAGAAATAAAGAAAGAAAGTGAGAGAGAAAGAAGAAATTATTACACCGAAAAGTAATAGTGCCTTCGTGGCAAGGTAAATATTTTTGGGTTGGGACGCATCGTACGTAATGTCTGTTCAAATAACATGAGGTCATTCGGCGTCAGCAGCTTTTCGTATAACAAATATCGAACGACGAGCAATGACACAATTTTCCGTAATATCGTACGTTTCTAGCACTTTCCCGGCAATAATTCCTTACATAGCAACACTGTATTTGATTCTTCTAGAGGAAAAGCCAACATTGTCTAGACACTTAAGAACAGCACGCATAATTCAATCCTCTTTTTAACGCAACGAATATCGAGCGGTACACGATGATTCGGCTTTCCCGAGCTTTCCAGTTCAGCATGTAGTTTCGTCATTCACTGGCGAATCTAGCCGTGTATTTTACTTATTTACATTCGTAATAACAACAATGATAACAGTAATAAATTTTCTCGCGTTTGAAATTGTAACTTATTCAAGGAAAACGGTCAACGAATTTCACGAACAAAATATTATATATGTTATTTTACGAGATAATACGTTCAATGTTTGTTTGGTGTTTTTATTTATTTGTACGTTTATCTGTTTATTATTATTATTTATACAGCACAGTTTTATACAACGCGAAATAAAGTTTCCCAAATTGTTTGAATTGTCAGATTTTTATGATTGAACAAGCAAGAGTACACTTTTTTGTAATACAAGTATCAGATAAATTTGAACAATGGACATAAAGCATAATTGTACATAAAAATAATGCGAGATTAACTTTTATCTGTCGACAATTGAAATTATCTTGACATTTAACGTAATATAATTAAACTGTAAACAATTACCGAGATACCGGCGACTCACGTTGAACGATCGTTTCGAAGTGATAGAAAAATAAATCATTTTTCAATTAAAAAAAAACATATTAGTGGAGAAAGAGACGAGAGGAGGGGGTGTAGTACACACACTTAACCGTCTCGTTTGAAAACTTCCGAACTTGAAGGTAATCACCATAACTTCAATTCAAAAAATAATGGACTTTCGTCGAGTTTACCACCGTTATTCGACACCATACGCGTAAAACGTTGTGGAATGAATCACTTTCGCGCAACTTGCACGCACAGGGATCGCGAGAACGTGAGAAAAATGAATTGTTCATTAGGTGTCTAAAAACGCCTCGGTTTTTCGCGCCAACCGTGACGATTTAATCTGTTTGCCCTTAAAATCTGCGTGAAACAACCGTGGGGACGTCCGTTATCGAGGAACGATGTTGACGAAACTACAATCTACGCATTTGAATTGGTCGAGCAGTAAGCAACAAACTCACCTGCAAGCCAGCCCTCGCCGAACGAGAGACCGCCTTCGCCTTTGCTTTACCCGAATCCTTACCCGCCTTCCCACCAGCCTGTTCAGAAACAAAAATCACGGTTAATTTGCAAGATACAGCCACAAAACTTCGCCAGACGGCAGCGTGAACATCGTAGAACACAGCGGTGCGATTAGAATGCGCGGATGGCTCATGGATCCGCTGAAAACTCGCGGATACTCACCATTATCCGACAAGAGGCTTTGCGATTCACTATGGAGAAACTTGCCAGAAGCACGGACGACGCCGTCTAAGCGCGGTCCCGCCAAATACGCTTGGCGCTGTCGGCAGGTCCTGCGATCGTCCCACGTGACTAAAACACACCAATTACAGCGACTGAATGAAATGCCTGTTCGCCATCTGTTGGCCCCCACTCGTTACTAACTCCTCGCCGGAGGAGCAACATTCCTATCTGGTATATCACTTGAACATTGCATCGCATACACTGGGTAATTTTCCATACTGTCTGAGAGCTACACTGAGTTATTATTCACGTCGGCCACTTACCGTTTATTTCTAACTTATTAAACACACTCTAAAGCTCTCTATGACTTTTAGACGTAACTATTCTTAATTTCCAATCCCGTATGTCATTTTCTATGTACATCTTTTGTTACAGATAACGTTTGAACACACGAACGCTTTGATATTCAAATTTCATTCATGTAACAGCATGTTCTTTTTTTTTCTTTTTTTGTACGACAACGTAAAGGAAACGTAATTGTATCGTTAATAATAAATGTAGAGTTAATAAGCGAATGAAAGGACAAACTTTTTTCCCCGTTTTCTTCTTTTTCGATCTTTACGCATGAAAATTTCCTCGCGTCTATACTGTCTCGTCCAGTAAAAATTGTATTACATCTTTTATGGTATTAATACGATTTACGTGTATTTTGCCCGGATATTTCGTTCCTGAAATTTTTAATACATTCCTTAAATATAAAATGAAACGATGCAGTAATAAAAGCAATGTAACACGCGAATAATTTTAAAACGCATTTACGTAACATCTGGCGTAAAAAAGAGATTATCTCTCACCTAGAAAGTATAAAATGCCAACGACGCGGCATCGATGAATTTCGAAACAGGTACAACTGACGAACTTGTAAATTATTAATCTCAGCGATTCGATTTGTTCTCATACGTTGCCACGGTTATGTTAAAATAAAATGACACTGTATGAAAAATCGAAATCTCAAATCGAAACGAGTTTAATAAACATATATTCATATTTGTCCAACTAAATTATCGAAAGTATCGTACGAACGTGTTATCGAACACACAATCGAACAGAATGAAACATGACGATGGAATTTCTATACAGACACTGTAATGTAAAATAACATTGATACTTCGATCTTGGCACGAATGAAATTATTCCTGAAAAAAAAATAATGAACATGTGTTTCCTCTTTGATCTGAACAGTTGACACCGTGAAGTATAATATAACAGTGGATTAGTATTGCGCAGACGAGAGAAACTATATCACTCTTTATTGATAGAAAGGCAGTAGTCACATAATAAATTTATACAAAAAGTATGTATGCATGTGTGTGTGTGTGTGTGTGTGTGTGTATGCACGCGTGTGTGCGTGTGTATGTGTGTATATATAGAAAATACGTACGTTGTTGCTACGAGGATAATATCAAGATTATACTACAGGGAGAGGAAACGAGCAGGTGTATCGCGTGTCTATTTGAACCATCATGTGACAATAAACGGTTCTCAGGCTTTCGAAAAAGTTATTATGGAAATATCGCGAATAGTCCCTAACGTACACATCTCTATATTATTAGAGAGCACTGTCTAAAACTGCGGTTGGCACGACCCATCACGGATGGGTTGCAATATCGACGAGCCTCTGCGCAGACATGCGCACTGCCAAGTGCAACGGTTTACTTGCAACTTTTCCCGCCATTTTTCTCGTTCCTCGCCCTTTCATTGGCACTGCACGCCGTGTGTTTACCCTCCTTTTTGTCCCTTCCGTTCATTTCCGTCGTAACCACTACCGCTTATCATTCGAACTCGTCGTAGCTATTATTGGTCCGAGTTCTTCGTTTCGGCCAGCTCGTCGCACTTATCCTCCAAATCCTCCTACAATTCGAATCAATATCGTTTCAGCTACGTTCATTTCGTAACAGCTTCGGATATTTAAACAGACAGACAAAACAATACGATACTATTTTACAGAATTTTAGAGCAATTTACAATTTCATACATTAGTTTCGTTTGTTAAGATACGTTGATACATTCGTTTCATTCAATTGCACGGGCAGCTGAGTTCATTATTTTTCACTTCTATGGATTTAATCCTGCTTTGCTCGTTATTCCGTGTATAAAATAATATTGCATCGCCGACGCGAGACGTTAAAGCTCAGAGCGTTAGAAATTGTCGAATTAATCAGGAAACGTTTACCTCGTTCAGCTGCAAACATTTGCCCCATTCGATGAGAGTGATTTTATGATCGTCGTCGCGATCGCACGAGTCGAGGAACGGCGCGATACAATGCTCGAGGGTCATCAAAGGTGCTTTAATGGGGAAAAGTTCGTGCCTGGAAACAGCCCTGTCATGGGGCTCGCCGTCCAAGTCGCACCATTTCCAAATGGCGGCGTTAGTCCAACGCAACGTATGATTTGTTTCCGCTTCCCGTTGCATCTTCAGAAAGTGCGACGACAGTTCCTGACGATCGGCAAGATCCCTCATGATGTTGAACAGCCAGTCTCGCATTCGCCTTGGGAAGTCAGCCATATCTTCCTCTTTGCACTCCTGCAAGAACAGGGTTGAAAGAAATTGATTCGCTTGTATCTGTTAAAGAAATCTATTTATATATATTTAAAATATATTATTTAATATGTATACATTTATTTATATATATTTAAAATATATATTATTTAATATTTATACATATTAAAAAATTTATATATGAAAAATAAAATAAATATTATTTAATATATATATTTATTATATTATATTTAATATATACATTAATATGTTTATTTATATATATTAAAAATTATATTTTACTCGTACTATTTTTTTAAATTTAACGTTTGTGAAACTATATGGAGATTTCGTTCAAAATCTGCGGAAACGATTACATTTATTTAACAATTCTTTCTTTCGTAACGTACAGAGATTACGAACAGCTACTTGATACGACTGAGCAATCCAACTAAATGAACAATGTTTCAAGAATAGAAGAGTGCGTAAATACAAAAGTGCAGCGAATTCATTTCCATAATAGAACGACAATACGCAACAGATAAGATATACACTTCTGGTTATGAATAGCGTTCCATTAATATCAGTCAATGATAACTACAATTTTATCAATGAGTGATCGCTAAGTTTCATGAAGCATCGAGCTTCGTTCGAACGTCGCAAATGTTGTTACGAGTTTGCTCTTCACGTTATATCCTCCAGACGAATTTACTGAGATAGCCGGTCAATGATGATAGCTAGTAGATACTTACGGGCATCTCCCGGCATTCGCCATAGTACACGACGTGAACGTGTTGATATCTATGGCTTCTACATCTGGCGTCGCCGCTGTTACAGAAACAACGCATCTGCTGGACCTCGCAATCGCTCCCGAAAGTTTCATTGTGATTGGTGCAAACCTTTCGTCTAGGATCGACTTCCTCGTCGCATACGTCAACGCAAACGCACTCGGCGGTGTCGTCGTCGATGGCCTGAAACGCGATCGTGGTCTCTGTAACTTTTCGTGGGAATTCTCCCGTTTCATCTTAGAAAACGAAACGTTCTAAAACGGGCTATGTAAGATGAACTCTTTGGCCAAGTTATATTCAAAAACTTTTGAATAAAACAGTCGTCGAAGTTCCCCGAGATCGGCATCGAGACGAAAAATAAAATCTTCCATTTTTCTTACATTCCTAGTTAAACTTCCCTGTACTTTTCCACCGTATTTTCGAACGCTTGTAAAATTGTAAAAATGTAAAAGTCGTGATTTATTAAAGTAAAACTACCAAACAATCTGAGGGGCGAACGATGATTTAGATCTTGGGTAATGGCAAAGCAGTACGGTTAACGTGCGTGGTTAAGGGTTACACACAAGCGTCGTCCGTACATAATAATGGGCATGATTTTGTTGTCTCTGACAAACCTTGCAAACTCGTCCTGCGTCACAGTGTTTATCTATGCACGGATCCATACGGAGCAAGCCCTGACGCTTCGATCCAACCTCGTTTCTGCCATCTTCGACGGTGACCTCAGCATCCTGCTCGGCTGTTTCATCAGCCTCGAGCATGTTCATGACCTCATCTTCGACAGGAGCTTGCGTCGTCGTTGTGCGACGACGATGTTTCCTCCGCTAAACAAGAAAAATCGATAATCGTGTAAACGGATTACGTATATTACTAATTCGTTTCGCGCTTTGCGGCGAACATCAGTTCGTGTAAAATAAACTTTGCTCCAGACACGAAGTAAGCCTGTCGTTTCAACAGTTCGTCGATGAAAACTAAAACTCGCGTTCAAATGACACGATCGAGGTAACTTAAACAACTCGTATCTATGCTTGGTATTCTACAATCTATTTGTCTTCTAATCAACTTACGTGTTGGGTCGTACCGTCCACCAAAAGGGACACTAACAGCAACGCAAACAGGAGCTGCAGTTTCGTCCACATTGCGATCTCTGCGACAGGCAATCGATCGTTAAATATGATACGCGTATAAACTTAAAATATACATACTTAAAATAGTACGCCTAGTCCATTCTTCTCTCTTTTTTTTTTTTTTTCTTTTCTTATTTTCTAACGCGTGGAACACGAGCGAATGATCAGGCGTCTGTTACATTCGATTTGTTATCGAAGCAGGAGCGTTCGCGTTAGAAATAACGCGATCGAACTTCGATTGAAGATCGTTTAAGGGCGGTTTTATTTAAAGAAAAAAAAAAAAAAAAAAAGTATCCAATAACATACGACGCGCATGAACAACGTTGGCCGATCCCACTCGGGTCAAACGTGGCCAACGATAAATCTCCGGGACCTTAATAGAAGCAACGAAGCGATAACCCAGATACTTGGAAATCACGATTCTTTACGAATGATCGTAACAAACTCGGATGCGTACCGCGCAGTTCCATTCCTCGCCGATTTCTTCGTCGCTCGTACAATACATCTTACGGCAAAATGCGGACGACAAAACCTATTTACGCCCGGCTGTCTTTATTACTTTGAATTGATGACGAGAAACGAAGGTTGAACTCGTCAGCCAAGCACCGAACGCCCACGAGAAATATTAGCGTTTGATTTTTCGCAATTTCAATGGAACTTCCACCTCGTTCTTTCAATTAATTTTCCATTCGCTCAAGATCATCGTGTTACGCAAAATTATCTTGCTATTAACTTTTATTTGTGAAAGCACTGTCTTACGAACATTTACAACAGAAAAGGCTACATTTACGAGCAGTTCTATTTTAAAGTTTTAGGTATGAAAAAAAAAACGATCGTTTAAATTGTAGATGAAGATTATTACTCTGTCTTAATTCTTAATTGAGATCGGGCTCTCTCGCATTCTTGTACATCGAATCACCTTTAAACGATCATAATAAGAGATATTCAAATCAAATACGATGATCGTGGTCCTCGCACGACGATTTACCCGTCAGAAATTAAAACGCATTTCCCTGGCTTCCTGACTGGCTAAATATAGCTTGGTTTATGCGTAAAGTCCATTCGGTTTGATTACATTTACAGCGTGAAATTCCCGTTAAACAGAATCGTTAAACAGTGCTATGATTACACGCGTTACGTCAGCGTCTTTTTTTTTTTTTTTTCTTTTTTCTTTAAATAAAGTTCTCTCAATCCAGATTTCATACATAATATATTACGCGACTAGATCATTACGAAAACTAGAGATATGCTTTAAATTTACGTTGAATGTAATTTTCCTTTCTTATATTCCTCGTTCGTTTAATCGATATTTGTGCAGCATAATTTCGTCGAAAGTAAAAAAAGCAGGTGAAACTGCTTGAAATATTACGTCGACAGAAGACAAAATCGCTAGATTGGACATTTGAACTAATTGTACGTAGATAATATAATTCTTTTGTTTTTAGTAAAAGTTCTACGCAGGAGAGCTTGAATTCCTCGAAAGAACTCGTATCGCTACTTCCTTTCTACGAAATCGCGTTAACCCTAGACCATAACTGCACCTTACGTATCGTGCAACTGTTTGGGATCATATAATTTGCTTCTTCAAGTAACGAGGAAGAATTTCCTCAATCTATTTCATTAAAAGAAAAAAAAGAAAAGAAAACTGGCTTTATTACAAAAATTAATTTTACTTTTCGTGCGACTCAGATGTACGTAAATATTCGACAATCGCGCAACTGGTCGGATTGAAAAAGCAAAAACACTCTTTGGAAATTCTTTTGCGCACTATAAAAAACAAGAGTCGCAAGTGTGTCGCGGACCAGTCACTATATAGCTCGTGAAAACGCGGAGGCGAGCGTAGGAATCGCCCTGTTTTTATCGTTTCCTCGATCGGCGCCCACGAAATCGCGTAATCGTCGCTGTTTCGAGCCTCTCTCGTGAGCGAAATTTTCAACTATAACACGAGAGAACAACCGTGGCGTCAAAACGCGACGCGATACTGTGATTTTCGTGTGTACTATCGCCAACGCGACATCTCAGCGGCGATTGAAACAAAAAAAAAAAAGGGTACCTTTTCGTAAAAAAAAAAATTTCGTGGCGAAACTTCCTCTCGAACGCGACTCGTACGAAAAACGATTTGTTACTGTTCACTGAGAGAGAGATTATCGTACAGCGACTGTGGAACTTCATTTCGCTGACTTTCGTGAAATAGATTTAGATATCACGTGTCGTGCATATTGCAGAAATTCGAGATACGGGGATTCTTGTCTGCGAAATAACATTTCGAAATTCCGCGTGAATTATCCAACGTTTTCAAATACGGTTCCTCTCATGTTTTCTCGCGGGACATTCGATAAAATTACATGCGCACCCAACGTCGAATAGCTCCTTTTATGGTACGTATGTATCTCCATTTTTCTTTCTTTTTTTTTGGGGGGGGGAGGAGGAGGAGGAGGATGTTGAATTTCCGTTCTAAAGATGACAATTTCCGAGGAGTTTGCGACAAGATAAGCCAGTTGTGACAAACGCCCACTATAAATGCGTTTGCCGAGCATGTTCTCAGATAAGATGCGACTCTTCGTTCTCGTTGCTTGCGGCAATAAAGCGTGTCTATGTCGTTTGACCGTAGAAAGACTCGAGATACCGAGGATACCTCCTTCGATTAATCCTTTAATTAAACGATACGCTCAAGAAACTGACAGCACTGTTTCAACGAGTCAATAGATTTAACAAATTGAATCAATGATTTTAATAAATTACGAAAAAAAAGTTGAATTACTACGAGGAATTGTATTTGACGAGTTGAATATGCGAGTCAAAAGTATGGATATATCTACTCGCGATGTGATAATTATATGCTTCAGATTAGAAGATTATCAGTACATGTTTTTTTTTTTTTCAAGTAGTATAATATATAGTGTTGATAAAAGTCTCTTACGTATTTTTTACATACTCCAGTCTGAACGATAATTCCGTTAAACGCGATATTAATCAAATGGAACGAGCTACCTCTTACAATAATCTCTCGTAATAACTCGCAAAGTTATTCCAAAAAAAATAAAAAAAAAATAAAAAAAAAATAAAACGCAAAAGTTAAAATAAAATTCTTGGTAAAAATCTGAGACCGAGTCTCTCTCGCAACAACTCGCGACGATTAAAAGAAATAAAATCGCGAGCGTTCGAGCGAGTTGTTCGAAAAGAAAAGAAAAGAAAAAAAAAAAAGGGATTGCAATCGCGAGCGGATTCGCGTGCACGTACGTACATACATGCACTGGAAGTATCGTAAAGTCGGTCGCAGCGAGTGCACACACCTGCCCGTGGCTGCAGCACTGACGCGTATATTTACCTCGTGTGCCGTTCCTTTCCCTTGTTGCTCGACGTTACCGTTCCTGTCCTCTCTCTGGCCGTTTTCGGGGAACGTTCAAAAGATCCCTCCAAATCGGTCGCTGGACCGGTACTGACTGGCGCGCGCCATACGGAGGAACGACCAGCAGAGAGACTATCCACGCTCACCGTGGACCGTGAGCAACCAGCGATGATCTCATCGTTTTTTCTTTCTTTCCGAACACCCCCGTTGGATCTTTCTGCCGCGTGCAACGTTTCTCTTGTTCCTCTCCTCGCCGGGGCCCCGACAAATTACGCAATCCGGTGCGTAATCAATCGCACGCAGGCTTCTGCAAGCTTCTTTCCCGAATAATCATTTCAACACAATGGGGGAATTCAGGTTCCGCTTCGGCTCCATCGAGTCTCGTGCCCCTGCGACATATACAGTATCTCACAGAAAGTATTCAAACATTTTTTTTCTTCTTTTTTTTTTTTTTTTTTACGAACATGTTGTACAAACCATTTTGATATTTGAAACCTCGGGGCGAGATTCGGCTGTTACAATCGTATCGAAACAAATCTGAAAATGTATATGGAATTACAAGAATACATTTATGAACGTATCGGTGTACATTTCACGAACGTTTGAAAATTGATAATCGATTTTTTTCAAGAATTCACTTGAAATTCTAATGTATGAAAATATATAATTTGACAAGGACGGGGGGGGTTCTGCACCGTGCAAATCGTGAAGAATTTCTGAATTGTAAAGTTCGAGATATGTAGGGGCAAACGTTGAATTTCACTGGCGCGCGTGGCATGAAAATTGTGGAATAATCGCTGAACCATGTCAGACAATTTAGAAATTGCGACGATTTAAGAAAACGGTACACGGACAAGTATTCCTCGACATCGACGTATATATTTACTATCTTGCAGCGAGCAAAAATGTTCTCTCGTTGATTACGTCGTGAAATAATAATAAATAAATCTTATAATAAACGTTGTAACGAAGATCTACTTAAGATCTATCATCAAAGAATATAAAAGGACATGAAAGATATAAAATAAAACATTTCGTGATATAGATGATAGAAAGATATAAAATAAAACAACGCTAATTATTGCAAGTTTCATACTGTATTACGTACTATATTGCGTTTCATGTCGGTGTAACCAGGTCACACAATGAGGAAATGTATCAAGCGATCGTAAATAAACGACTACTATGGTTAATGTTCATTCGGGAACGAGAGTAAATCAATTTAACCCTTTAATTGAAGTAATAGAACTTGTATTACAGAACGGAACTTTATGCGAGAACATTTGTACATTTTCGCGAAAACGAAATACTTTGTAATGCAAGCACTAAATAATTTTCTCTCTTTGAATAATGAAAATAAATTAAAGGATTAAATAATCTACCCGTGAATGGAAATAAAATTAAAGGACTTTGTTCCTTACAGTAATGCAAAATATTCTTTCTTTCGTTTTAATGCATTTATTTGAGTTTATTCTAACAACTAAAATGTACGTATTTGCTTTTTTATTTACATACAAGTTTTTCAATAAAGCAAATGAAAAGAAAATGGAAGTACTTTCTCTTACTAGCGACGAAAAAAGTTTACCAATAAGTAAAATATTACTGATGGACTACCACAACGAGATGAATAATGTTAAACAAACAATTCAAAATTTACTTAAATAAATTAGAATACTGTTCCAAACAACTGCAAATAATAACATTTATTAAACGTTACTAAATGATAATCACTCTCAAGCTTATGTGCACACATAACATTTGATTGATAAACACGTAGAGTCAAAATATCTTGTTGAAACGTGAAAGAAATGGTGAAATATTCTGATAAATAAAGAGATACTAACAGGAGCTGGTAGTAAGGTAGGTATATTATACTAAATGCAAAAAAAGTTACAATATATTTGATGTTTGTTTTTTTTCATTTTCCTTTAACATTATTTCTTCTTTTTTTTTTTTTTGTCGTAGTAACGTTGACCATGGTTGTACACACAAACTGGCCTGGTAGACCGAAATAAAAATGTATACTACAAAAATTCACAACTTATTCGCCATCCTCTAGTTATTATATTGTTATAATTATTTGTGTTTCTTCATATTCCTTTCTTCGTTCATTATATTTATCTTTTTTTTTATTATTATAATTATTATTAATAATTATTATTAATATTATTATTAATAGTCACTTAAAAACGGAAACATTCACACTAAAAATTTGCAGAGCTTTCGTTCAGGGTATAAAGAGGCGATCTCGCGTACACGTGGCTTCTGAACACTTTGTTTTCAATGCAATTACGCGTGTGAGATGCACATTGATGTATGCATATATACCTAACGGTACAAAATGAACTTACCTAAAAACTGTATATACATATTGTGAATTTAAATAAAAGCAAAGACCAAAGTGCTACATATTCTACACGTCGAGGTTCGAAAAGAAAAGCTCGTTAAAATACCTAGCCATAAAAAGCCCGCTTTATTTACCCTACGATTTAAGAAGAAACAAACGAGTCAACTCATTCGATGCATGGACATAACAGCGTCAATGTTTAAATATATAAAATTTGATATATCATCGTTTATACAATTGAGAATATCATCGTATCGTATGCTGATGTAGAAAAGGCATGTGCCGATACCTCGAACGAAAAAGGAACAATTCACTATTTTACAATGAGCAATGATAGAATTTCTTTACAGATGACTGGACAATTACGAGCATACTTCATAAATATTCTAATTATCCGACGTAACGAACAATTCAGCCAACTGATCACGCGAAATTACCTCTTTATCCATGACCGAGACAGAGCAGCATCATCACCATCATCATCATAATATGTATAATACACAGTAATGTTTCTCGAAACATTGAATTTTCGTTACACAACGAACTACATATTTCACCGTGTGGAGTTCTACTTACGATTAACTAAAATTAGTTACGCGGAGACCTTGACAGGTCTTTAGAGAGAGTAGAACGAAGACTTTGAATCGCTGATGATTCTGCTACATCCCGGACACGGCAATTGTAAACGCATTCGATTACAAACTATTGCGGATGTTTAATGTATGACTACGTAACAATTTAATGGATCAATAAGAAACGTAAATAATTACTTTTCACATGTTCTCAGCCTTAATATCGTAGCGTATTTTTTTTTTTTTTTTGTGTGTGTGTATGTGTGGTTTAATCGCCGTGCACTTTGCAACATTTTTGCCAGATTTGAGAAAAGAAAAAAATGACCAGTTAATTTATCACCATCAACATATTCGTTATCACCTCTGTATTCTCAGCACTATTTAGGAAAAACAGTTTCGTCCCTGTTTGCTCTTCTGTATTTTCACCTGTGCACTCAGGTTACGGCGAGGTGTACACGTACGAGATGGCACATAAATTACTATATGCATCTATACTACCATTGCTTCACGACGATGGTAGTTTCATGTATTTACCTCTTTTTTTTCTTTCTCTTTTTTTTTTTTTTTTTTTTTTTGCACTCACGGTTCTCTTTTTTTTTTTCATTGTTGGCTTGAAAATTTTGTTCTGATTGAATCTTCTTGATGACTTTTGATGCGATGACAATTTGAAGAGAGAGAAAAGAAAAAAGAACGATACTCTGATTTTAACAAACGGAAAACAATAAACCATGTGACGAATATAGGCCAGAAAAAATATATTGCCCTGTCTCTAATAATCGCAGGACTTCGCATCTTGCAAACTGTTACTAGAAATTCGAAAATATTTCCGACGCTTTTTTTTTTTTTTTTTCTTCTAATAAACGCAATTCTCTCTCGCTCTCTCGCTCACTCACTCACTCTCATCCTTTCTCGCTCACTTTCTCTCCTCTGTTTTGTCTGCCCTAGCACCTTTATACGGACACGTGTCGAAAATACAGATAGGAAAATACTATCTACACATTAGGGTACTTATGAAGATACAGGAATCAAAATATTCCTCAATTCCATTTCGGTGATATAGAATAAGTGCACGTGCTGAATTTACCATTTATGCTGGATATCCTTAAAGGATAAGTCAGACCGACAATCTAATTTCACTAATATCGCTGTTATTACTTCACTTGCGAATAGAAACTATTCGCTCGTACGACATCGTGTAGATTGAGAAACATTTAAAAGTGTATCTTAGCGCCAGAAAACTAACAAGATCATCGAAAATGATTATCATACGTCTATTTCGATCTAATTATTGATATGGAAGTACAATATCCAAGAAAAGGGCCAGACCAAAGTAGTTTATAACATCTTTACGTTATAAACTTTATGAGTATTTATCACTCGTGATCGAACTTTGAAAAATTGCTATTTACGTATGTGTAATAATTACAAGAATAATACTAATTATTACGTTAGTAAGCAGGGAAATGTTCTTTTTTTTCCTCTTCTTTTCTTTTTTTCTTTTTTTTTTTTTTTTCTCGTCAATATACATTGTCAATTTTCCGACAACTTTCTGTAGTTACGAAGTTTTGCACAAAGTCAAGCTAAAATTTTGTGTTGTTATAACGGTACTAGGTCTCTTTGTCTTTAGCAGCGCACTGCGAGTTCTGCGATCACCAGAGACTATCAAATACTGTCAGATATTAGACAATTCTCAATCTTATCGAATTTATAATTTTGAAATGGCATTTTGTCCCTCTTTGTACGACCTAAGGGAAAGAGAAACGAAACGGAGAATCGACAAAAAAAAGTGTAGGGAGAAAGAGTTGAAGATGAACATAAGAAGGAAAGGTAACAGCCTGATACGCGAAGAAGCATGTAGAATGGAAAAAAGAAAATTGAACAAAAATCAGCAGATTGGAACAAAATAGAGCATAAGCGACACGCGGATGAATTAGGAAACGGCGAGACCAGCTGCAGTCTAAGGGTACTTCCCCACTATCAATCGATACCGGTCGATTGACAGTTGGCCATGTTTTGTGAAAAAAAAAAAAAAAAAAAAAAAAAAATCGACTGTCTTTTTGTATGCGACCACAGAACAGCCGCAGTTCTCTACTCGTTAACCAACACCGACCAACTACCACCTATAAACATTATTGCCGACTTTCTACATTTAGGTGGAACGTTTACATCGGCAGTCAATAAATTAACTCGAGAGCATATGAAAATTGTACGACGATATTCCATACTTAAAACGATTCGTATCCTCTCGTTTTAATTTCGTTTTTTCTTTTCTTTTTTTTCATTTTTTTTTCTTTTTTTTCATTTTTTTTTCTTTTTTTTTTTTTTGTTTGGCTCGTGACTTATTCATACGATAGCGGAATTCGCACCGCTTATGTCTCCTTAATGCGATTGGCAAACAAAGAAAACTAAAAGAGCGACGTATGATTTTCGTAATATTTATCCAAAAGAAAACAAAACGGTATGTTACCGAATCTTAATTCCACATATATCTGTGTGTATATGTATGTATGTGTATGATATACATTTCTAACATTGTCTCTTGTTCATATATACCGCACACGTGCTCGAGAAACACGAAAAAACTTGATTCGAGTTATCTTCTGCACTCTATCACAAAAATTGGCAACAATTTTGTTTCTTGGATGTTGGTTTCTAAGAAACGTGGGCTACGTATCAGGAGACAGAAACACACCCATATTTCTAAAGAGGATATCACGCGTCGCTCTGTTATACATATATACTGAATGCAGTTTTTGTTTTTTTCTTCTTCATCGTAAAGTCTTGTAAATTGCCTGACGTCGATGTATGAAGGACGAACTCGTAGTATTTATTTCATCAAATATCCAACAAACCGAGTTGAACGTTCAATGAATTATTTTACTAAATCATTCCTTAATTGTTCCTTATCGTACGAATACGAACTTAGCTTAAATGCAATAACCCGATTATCCTACTTGAGTTCGTGTCCCATACAGTTTGAGCTGCGTCATCTATAGTTGTTGCTTGACAAACGATGCAAGCGATGTTTAAGCGTAAAAGGATAGCGCCTTTAATCACGTTGTGTGGCATATGAGATAGTCCTGGATTTTGAGTTTAAAAAATGAAGATGGTAATTATATACCGATGACTTGTTCAGAAATAAAGAAACTGAAGAGTGCCTGTGACATTGCTTGAAGTATTAGCGGCGGTTTTGGTAACTTAGATTGTTTGGATTACCAGACTGTCGCATACCGCCACCTCCCCTTCCACCATCACCACCTCGTGAAAATCCTCCGCGTCCACCTCTCGTACCATGTTGACCACCTCTCATCATACCTCCAGGTCCACCTACATAACAAAAAAATGTGACTAAACGCAACAATTTTAAATATAATTATACAAAAATGTTACAAGCATGCGCATACCTGGACCTCGTTGTTGCTGCTGCTGCTGTTGTCCTCCCATCGCTCTCATATTTCCGTCGTTAGAGTTTAACCGACCACCACTACCTTCCATCGTTCTTGGCTTCACCTTCTTCTCTTCCACATTCAGTTTCTGTCCATTTTCAGCAGGATAATAGATCGGCTATAATTAAAAAAATTAATTAAATTTCCGTGAATCTTTTTATACATCAAGAGATCTGGTATATGCGCAAGAAGAACACTAACTAAGTTTTGTAACACTTTGCTAACAACTTGTTGGTCTTCGAAAGTAATAAACCCGTAATTAGGCACTTTTCCTGTGTTATTTCCTTGCGGTCCTTTGCACCTGTCATTCGATTTACTGTGAATACGTAATTCTACAACTCTACCATAAGATTCAAACACTTGACGTAAATCATCTTCCGATGCATTGTGCGGTAAGTTTCCAAGGAATAGCTGATGAGCATCACTATATTGACTTTGTCTCGTACCACGACGATCACCATCTAAAGAATTCATCACTTGTTCTATAATACTTTAATACAATTTTTGATACAAAAATCTTTGATACAATTTAGAACGTAGAAAATTAATATCTTTTGATATTTTTTAATACCTTTCAAAGGATATCTTTACCTCGTTGTACTGCCCCTCCCCTTGGAGCTCGCTGTTGTTGATGTTGTTGTTGCTGTGGTTGCTGATTATTAATTCTATGAGTTTGCTGTTGAGGAGCAGAAACGTTAGTTGTCGATAGCGGAGGTCCACTGTTAGAGGGATGTAGTGGTGATCTGTCGTCCAAACGCAAGTTTGTCATGGGGGGCTGAGAATAAATATCAAAAAATTATAATTCCATTATTTATATCTAAATCTTAATTGTTAAAAATAACTATTGCAATTATAAAATGTATACCGGCGACATCGACAATTTAGGAGCCTGAGGGCTAGTCGCCCCGGTGGTACTGGGGAATGATTTCACGAGATTAGCATACGTTTTCGGTCCACTGCTAGTTACATTTGTATTTGCAACTTGATGTTCTGGCTCAGAATCTTGTACAGATGCAGTAAACGTTTCAGGCTCGGGCTGTTCGCGAGTCTCGTTCGATTGAGCCTGGGGCTCATTTTCTGTTTGTTGTTGCTGTTCAGCTGCGGAATCCAGTTCAGTTTCTTGTACAAATTGCGTTTGTGACGTAGTCTCATTTATATACTGATGTTGTTGCGCAGGTGGTGGAGGTGGTTGCTGTGGCTGTTGTTGTTGCTGTTGTGGTGGCTGTTGATTAATTAACGGTGTTTCTTCATGAACTGAACCATTTAGTACTTGCTGTATTACAGGATGAACCTTAAATAATAAACTTATTACAGTATATTACTTATTATTTAAGTGATTTAAATTAAATAACGTGATACGAAACTAACATGAGTTTGTTGTGGCTGTTGCGGTGCATAGTACATTTGTTGCTGTTGTTGAAGAACAGGTTGTTGTGTAGGAATAAGTGGTGGTTGAGCTTGTGGTTCTGTAGATGTAGCCGGTGCTGGAACTTGTTGCCCGCGATTTTGATGTTCATCTTCTTCTGGTTCAGAACGCCCTCCTTCTTCTCCTTCCCTCTCTCCAGACTCACCTACTCCACCTTCAATACCTCCAACATCTGTTTCTTCTTCATCAGGAAAGATCAAGTCTTGGTAACGAAATATATCATTATGTACATAATATGTTTTAGGTGCTTGTATTGCTAACACAAATGTTTGCGTAAATCTACGCATTGGTTGTCCAGCATTAGATAATTCTCCAGATACCTATAAATAATAGAATTTATCATTAAAATTTAATATATAACTTTGCAATTAAATGCTAATTAATATTTTAAATTATTGCTTAATTATTGTCAATAGTTCAACTTACTTGCACAACAACACCATTTTCAAGAGTCAACTGTGAATCAACTTGACTTATTTTGGCATGACAATCCCGAAAGTTCAATTGTTGAATTTTTTGATGTATTTGTTTTTGACCAATTGCAGGAGTTGATTCTCGATTAGAATCTAATCCTCCATGCACAAAGGATGAATGTTGGTTGTAAAACCTGCAATGATATTAAATACAATGATATACTGTATTTTCTTCAATGTGTCCCTTACATATAAAAAAGTATGTATTTACCTATGGAGATGAGCAGGAGCTTGATTAAGTAACGTGTAGTATTGTCGGACAAATTCACGACCGACATTTTGTGGCGAAGGAAACGCCTCCATGACCATTTTCTTATTTCTAACTTCTAAAATAATACTTTGCTTAAACAGCAATGAAAAATTTATGTTGCAAATGTGAAAATTAGGAGATTAGATGTCTGTAACAAAAAAAGATACTTATAATGTTAACAGATCATATTGTATCATAATGTTTATTTAGATAAATTATATCTTTGTTATAATATAAGTATGTTACTATGTTGACATATATCTTAACATTATTTAACATCAATAATTGAATTTAATGAAAACCAACTTAAACTAATTATATATGTATTATAAAAAGGTATATAACATACTTAAAACTACATTAAATGTTTACATCTTAAACAATTTATTACTATATAAGTATTGTGTGTGTGTGTATATACAAACACAGAAATTAAATATCAAAAACAAATGCACAATTGTAATAAGATAGAAATTAAAAATATGCACATCAATCAAAGTGGCTATCTGTGGATATCACATGAGAGTAATGTGCTTAGAACCAAAATGGAAATACATGGAAATTTTTTCTTTTTCTAAAATAATTAATTGAACTTTATATTTTCGTAAAGGTCGGTATACGGAATATATACAATTTATGTGCAAGCATTAAATGTACAATAATCCTAAAACGTGGATATATACATATTAAAAATGCGTAATCTCGGTAATTTGTACATTAAATTGTAGTCAAGCGCGTGTGCAATCACGCCTCGAAGAAACATGTGCTCGCGTAGGTATAAAAATTACAGGGATTTCTGTTGCAAAGCGATTAGTTGGAAACAAAAAAGCTGTAAATAGTCTCTCAGCTCGTGTGCTGTGCGAAGACCGAAGTCGAGGCCAAGGGGGCCGCCCGGTTGCATGAGCAAGCATGGCGATTTTTCTTGATCTAAGAAATGGTAACGTTAAGCTCCCCTCGGCGTGGAAATTTTAGCGAAATGTTTCGATAAATAACATACAGCACAACTATCAAAACGTTCAATAATTCAAACAATAATTTACGAACAACGAATATAGTTAATTCGTTAACAATGGGCAGCAGCACTTTTCACAGTTTCGTATCATGCTTGCCTTCCTGGTTTTGTTCTGAGGTCTTCCCTGTGAGAAGTCGAATAAAGAATATCGGCAAAGCCGATCTTATGGCGTTATACACTCACCCGATGGGAATCACTTATGCGCAACACAACTCACTGCTTTTCCCGGCAAAACGAGATTGGTGCGATGAAAACAGAATGTTTCTACGAGCACAACAGTTCACAATGTTAATTACAAAAACAGTTTAATGTATGAGTCCTCCAAGCACCTTGATGTCAGCACATGCAGCGGAACCTGCACAGAAGCACCGGTCGCATAAAGATAAACGACTCTCTTACAGAAGCCGAGTCCTTACCCAAGCTATGCGGATTTTACAGGAACTACATCATCAATCGAACAAATTCCAGAAGAGCATTTCCTCCGTTTACTACGCCGCTGATTGGCTGTTTCGTTTCAGATGTAAAGTGCCAGCCAATAGTAAGACGGATTAAGTGGAAGAATTTTGTCAAGAAACAACTGTTATTGGTCCAATGATACATTCGGTTCCACTACACCTTATACACTATTGAATGATTTACTAAATGACGCACTTTAGAACTGTAGCTTAAAAACCTCTACATATATTCTTTTATATAAATAAACCACATTATATATATTTATTAATACTACAATCTACCACGATTCCAACTAAAATAAATGTATTAATAATATTTTATAATTTATTTTTACAAATCTTTGCTATTTATATATATATATATACATATATATACATATTGTGTAGGTGTGCATTTATGTACGTATATATATAATACTCATTGTTATATTGGCATTGGACCATTTAGATAAATACAATATGTTTAACCAATATTAACAAATACAGTTTCATTTTACTTTACGTTTATCAAATTAGCACAGACAAAATACTTATAAGTTATCGCCTACGAAAGATTATCAAAAGATAAAATATTTCCTGCTGACTCATATTTTTAATAATTTTTTGTAATTTATTCATGCTTTTATATACATCAATTGTATAGTATTGTACAATAACATAATATATAGTACACAATAAAATAACATATAGTACTGTACAATGATAATTAATATAGTATATTAAGGACCACAAATCAAAGTCTGTAATACAAATCTTAGCATCATATTCCAAACAATTGGGAATCGCTAATCATGCAATTTTCAGAAATTGAACGACGATATAAAATTTAGAAAAATTCTGTAAAATCAAAGTGAAATATTTCAACTATACCATATATTTTACTGCGTTGTGATATTGAAAATAAAATTATCAATTTTTAACGTTTAGTGGTAGGAAAATAAAGCATTAGGATACATAACATATTTAATTATATAAAATACACAAATGAAAATTTTTACATACCAAAGAATCTTTATAAATAAGCAAAAATTTAAATTATCTCGCGAGAAATTACCATAAAGATCTATGTAATAGTATTCTCGATTTAATTTCTCGTGTCTTAAGAAAAACTTTTAATTTATGTTAAAATTTCATAAATTTTAACTCAAAATAAAAATTATTCAAAAATTCTTTGATTTGTTTAACAATAAAAATTTTATATACATCAAGATGAATTACTTAACTAAAAGATAAAATGTACGGTAAATAATTAAATATAAGGTAAATTATGTATAAAATTTCATATACTAAAATGCATAATTTAATTAATGGAAAATTCGAACAGATCTTTTACTCGAATTTTTTACACTATTCAATTAAAATTTATTAAATATTAAGAATGCATTTTGTACACGTCGCTTTAAATTGTGAAATTAAAAAAAAAGGCAACCATTTTTTGTCTAATTTTTTTTAATGTAATACTTTGTGACATAGAACAGTGTTGAATTTGAGAAAAATACAATATTTTCTTTTAGTTTAAAAATCTTATTACGATGTTTTTGCCTAGAATGAAACTATCGGTATATAAATATAATGCATATGTGTTGTTCTTGAGTGTAGAGTAAAAACTGAAAGAATACCTAAGAGCTCGATGCACGACTGTGATAGAATCAGCAAAATATTGTTTGTAATACAAATTCACTAAATCTTCGTGTCAGTCTTATTTAAATCTAATGTATAGATGTTTATCACTATATTTTAAAGAAATATTGTGTACATATCTTTTTCCAAAAATTAAATTATTAGGATCGGTTAACACAAATACAAACAGACGCGGTATATATTATGTACACAAAATCAATTTATTTTATCCTATTTTTCTTACCAATAAGGAAGCAATAATCTTTTTACCTCATTTCATACCTCACACAATCATTATAAACAACTCGGTACTTTTCATTTTTATCTTATCGTAGCCGTGTAAAAAGTACATTGCCTGCTTACTCTTCTATAGTGGGTTTCTCCTCTTATTAAGTTTAGTTTATAGACAAATTATAATAATCTTATTGTTAAAAATAGGGACACGTTATTTTTTAACAGTCCCAAGCGATGAATGCGAAACTTGATTCTTCCTAATGTATCTGTATTTAAATTATTTCCTATCATCTTTTGCTTTCCCATTTGCACAGAAATAATACGTTACAGTGTCTTGTCGTAAGGAGTTTTATCTATACGTTCGAGATATTTTTATGCTGCATTCATATCTGCATCAGCATATATTATTTTACAAACGTATTACTACACGACACTTCCTTATGTATGCACTGTAGAATGTGTAACGTACTAGCAGTAAAAAAAAATTAATGATAAATAAGATGAAATGAGAAAGAGACCAATGTGAAATATGAAGTATCATCCACTTTGTACAAAAGGGTAAACGAGAGATGGAAGAAAGCATTGTGTACCTACATTTATATATATATAATATATATATGTTTATATGTTTGCTTTTGTTGTCTCGATAATACAGATGTATTGCTAGACGCAAAAGGTGAAACTATTACAGTTTTTGTCGTGATTCCTGATGATTCATTTTATTTTGCGGCAGTAGTCTGCGTTGTTGAAAATCTTGCTGAAAATGGCGTGGTTTAATGGAATGATGATTTAACGAGTTATGAGATTTGTGGAGGGACAGGAAACCTGAAATAAAAACAAACATTAAAATATATTGTGTATATCAATTAATATGTATATTATATATTAATTAATTGTGTATATTTTTCAGTACAGTATTTAAAAATAGTTTTATTATGTAACCATATGAAATTATTTTGGTAACATTGAACATAAATGACATTGGAAAAGGAAACGAAAGGTTGTTGAAACTGAACTTATAGACGTCAGGAAGCTATGATGACTCACCAGCGGTTACAATGCGAATTGCATTGCGGTCGCAATGAATGATTTCCATTAATAGGGTTGGTGCCTTTGGTTCTGGCGACCACCTCCCCTCTGCTTTCCGCCGTAGCCTGAGCCTCCTGAAACAATATCCACAATGTACGTTAGTCCAGCAACTTGGATATATTCCCCCGCTTTCTTCCTCCCGCCGTTTTTTTCGAAGAAATTACAAATAACCGACTATAAAACGATCGATTTGTAGAAATTACCGCACGCACACTTCTATTAATAACAGAATAAGATACGAAACAATATATGTATAAAGATATAGACTAACGTAATGGATATAAAACTACGTAGAATCTACATAGAGGCTACAGGCTAAGGTAGTAAGCTGCAAGGCTGCGTTCTGATTTATACTCTCCTTTTCTCCTTAGACATTTCTGGAATCTGCATATGCTGAAATACTGAAATTTCCATATTGCAATACTGTGTACATACTTAATAAGGATTTCAAACTACTTAAATAATTTACAAAAGTGAATAGATCTTATATACTATCATTACAATATATTATTAATATTATAATAAAAATGTATGCTGTTTTTACCAAATAGCCAGAAATGTTTAAGGTTAAGGATATGAAAAATGAAATAAAGATGAAAATGTGTTTAGTACCAGCATGAAAAATAAATTAAATAATTATTTATTATTTTTTACTTTTTCATACTTAATATGCACCACATGAATGAAACAGTTGAAGAAACGAATAACATGCTTGTTTTGTATATATAAGATATATGTTTCATATATTTCCCTCTGAAAATATATTTTTATGTATCTTATATACTTTTCTAAATTTCACACACATACACACACATGTAATTTTGATTGAATTTTAGATTATGAATAATTTCTACAAAATGATAATGTAAACTATCACTTAAAAAATATATCGATTGCTTAGAATAAATTATATGTTTACCTCTTAATAATTATGAAATTAACTTGATACGAATAAACTTTGTGAATAGCTTCTCTAATGAAAATGTTATTACTTATAATCAAAAGATTTAAGTATATTTTAACCGTATGAATAATATTTATGAAAATATATAGATATCACAGAATTTTAAAAATAAAATGCAAATATATAAAAATTATATATAATTTTTATATATCTTAATAGGATATTTCAATATAGATTTTAAGGAAGTTTTTAAAAAAAGAAGAAATATATGTACATAATAAATAATGAATAAATAGAAAGAAATATGACTAAAAATATGTAGCAGGAATGGCATCCAAGTTGCATAAAGCACATGTGTATTAAATCATACATATCTGTAATTGCTGAAAATTCATTATTCTTATTAGTATTATTGTAATTATAAAAATAAAATATCAATTTTACATGTACACACATACTTAGAGGAAATAAAGGAAAATGATGATGGAGGACAAACAAAAACTAGAGACAAAATAATGGTGATGAAAAATAATAGATGAAATGAAGGTGAATTTAGAAATTGGACTTTTGATCAAAAAAGTAGGATACATTCGGGAAAATACAAAACAATAGAGAAGGAACGCTAATGCGTACCTTTACCGCGTGCACCACCGCGCCCACCACTGTAGCCACCATCGTAACTACCACCGCCATAGCCATAGCCGTCTGCGTTTCATGGAACACACGGTATAAGAGACAAATGGGGTCAGTATTAATATGAACTGGCAATTGTATTTTTATAATACAATATATATATATATACATACATACATACATACATATATATATGTATGTATATATATATATATATGATAGCAATAAAAATCATCGCCAGTTTACAAGTACATATTTACTATAATTACGTAAAAAAATCTGAAGTTTAAACTTTAATATTAAATATTTCTTGAAACTATATAATTCAAAATATTATACTAAATCTATAATGAACTTTAAAATAATATTTAATAATATTAAAACAATTTTATCTTCCAAAGGGTTCATTTGCACATTTAATACGTAACATAAGTGCAGAGGCTGTTCATAAACTCG